TATTTTGAGAAAAAGAAAACAAAACATACCATTGCCCTTCCGTGAAAACATACTTGCAGTCAATTCCATTAAATCTTGGCGATCGAAAGTCAGCAAATCAGAGTGTAAAGAAGCGGCAACACTTTTTACAATGGAATCCAAATAATAAGAAGCACCTTCAATTGGACAATTTAATAATAAGTGGCCACGCCGAGCAGGTGCTCCATTGCCCTTTGGAACAGGAAAAAGATTTGCACGTGCACTATATAAAATTTCATCACGTATTCCATCCTCTAAAGGGTAACTCATTTTTGCAAAAGAATGTGAATTATTTTTAATTGATAGATAATTCTCATTCAAAAACAATTGAGGTATAACTGGTTTGTAAGAGTTTGAAGATTTTGACGCGCGTGTGCGAGAACGAGTAATAGAACGTTTTCGTCTAGTTGGAGAGCGTAAAATGTATTCAGCTACATGTTCGGTTGTATTGTCAGAAGATGGTTGAGACTGACATTCCTCGGGAGTTTGAATACTTTCAGTCTCTTCTTTGGTAGCCGTTGAAGAAGGAGTTTCCTTCCCAGTATTTGAAGTAGCTACGTTGTTTTTATTGTTATCCTTTGGTTTTAACGGAGAATTATTCCCAGTAGGTAAATCACCCGACGAATTTGTATAACGTCTAGTATTGGTACTACGAAAAGAACGAATTTTTATAACATGTTTACGAGGTTTATAAAAGTAAATAGTTCTGCGATTGTAAAGTACAAATGTACGTTCGAATACTCTCGCCGTTGCTGTTAAGTTTCCCAAGTTTCCCAACATAGTTTTGTTAACGAAACGTAAAAGATTGGTAATTACGTATTAATACATCAGACTGTTAGATTGATATTTGATATTTGATTTTCTGATATAGCCGATCTTGTGAATATTAAATAATTGGTTCGATAAAAGAGAAATCTTAACGTTAATTTTTTTCTCCGAAGCTATTACGTTTAGAGTAATTGTGCCACATACAGTGCAGAAAGTGCAGAAATACTTTATAGTTATTGTATGGGTTGTAGTGAATAACCCGGGTTCATATTCCGTGCCGAAGGCACGGGATTTAAATATGAACCCGTGTGAATAACTGGGTTATTCAACCCATATA